CACACACACACACACACACACACACACACACACACACACAGTGGTTCTCAGTCCTGCTTTCTTCCTCTGTCGTCAGGCACCAGAGAGGAGCGAGGGCTGGTTAAGTGGAACTCCTCCCCTTCCTCCTCCTCTTACTCCACCTACGACCTTCCCTTTGTCATGCCCGTGCTCAGACGCACTCGCTGGCTCCGGCGGTTCCCCATCAGCCCCACCTTCACAGGTTTCAGGGCATCTGATGACCCACCCCCTCTGGAACAGGAGGAAGGTGACGACGAATTGCCAAGCACCAAGTTGTGAAGATGATGTCATCAATCTCACCTGACAGCTGTTGGGACCAGTTAGATTTCAAACCAATCAGTGTTTCCATTAATCAATATGACAAGAAGTTTGTGACATCACCTCCTGTTCCCATAACTAAAGCCCCTCCCACAGCGTGGTCTTCCAGTTCTTGAGTTTAATTTCCTCCTTATGAGCTCAACCTGACACTTTGCAGATGTTCCAGATGTGTAATGACTTGCAGTCAGCTAATTGATGGGATGGAGCGAAAGGAAGCTGCCATCCACACATACCTTCAAAATAAAAGCAGTTCTTCTGTGAGACTGAATCTCTTCCCATTCAGTCTATCAAAATAAAAGCTAAATAAAAGCGTTCTGAGAATTGATAAAACCATTCACATCAGAGAAAGCTTCACACACACACACACACACACACACACAGCTAATCACCTGTCCCTCAGTGTGATGTCATAGCTTCATACACAAATGATGGCCAACAAACTAAAAGGAAATGGAACTGTTGATTTTATTACAGTTTAAGCTGCACTTCACCTTTTTTACCATGGCAACAATATTGATGGCCGACTGCAACGCTTTTCAGATACATCAGATCACAAAATCAGAATAAAGTTAATTAGATACACATATGTTCAAAATAAAGTCCACCTGAGGAGGTCACGTGACTTCAACAGGTTTCCGATTGCAGTATCTTTAGTTACATGACTTTAATCATGACTCCATATCTTTAGTGTACACTTTCACTCGTGGTGTCACTCGTGTTTAGAGGGTCAAAGATGGAGGGCTGGGTTAAAATCTGATTCAGAACATTACAGGTGAGCTTCAGGTGAGCTTCAGCATTGGCTGTCCCATAAAAAATTGTGCCATTGCATAAAAACAATCTGAGAGAGTGCAGTGAGAAAATCACATATGTTTTAAAAACGTGTTGATCAATATTAAATCAATACAGGTCAGTATTAATCAGTATGAATTAATCGATATTAAGTTTGTGTTTTTAACATAAGCAGTCGGACTGACTGGTTCCCAGTACAAGTCCCAGTTTGTCTCCAGTATTGGTGTGTTTTGTTTTCTTTGAGTGAATTTAATGTTTTTTCTTTTTCCAATGTTTTGATCAATAATCAATAAATGTTTTTGCTGATCGCGTGTTTGTGATGAAAAGTACAAAACTCAAACATGTGATGTCACAGAATGCAAACAAATACAAATCAATATCAAAGCAGTGATCGATGATCAGTGACGACCAGGCAAAGTGTGCGTGATGTCATCGCTGCGCTGTTGGTTTGACGCCATCACAGTGACAGGAAGGCCGCAAAATGAGGACACGCCCACTGCTCGCTGGAACGGCATCACCGAGAGCAACATGGGGTTAGTGGCGCCCACCTGGATCACAGTGGGGGCGGGGTTAGAACAGGTCACTGGGAACATGGCAGCATTGGAGGCTGAGCCAGCTGGAGGTAAGAACACCTGGAAGAACTGTCCAGTTTCTGGATCCAGGAGCATCTTCCTCTGATGCTGCAGGGACGTGTCAGCATAGAAGAACCGCCCACTTTTAGGGTCTAACATCAGTTGACAGGGGGCGGGAACTCTGAAGAAGGGTCCAGGTGCTGCAGCAGAGCCCAACACATCGACAAGGAAGTCCCCAGATAACTGTGCAGGTAAGAGACTGGGAACGCTGCACAGAATCGGCTGTGGATGCAGGCGCTGCTGCTGAAGCTCTTGTTGGTTCTGGCTCGGAGGCGTTGCTGTCCCGCTCTGACCCTCTCGCTCTCGTTGTCTTTTGGTCGGGTCAACTTGTTCAGAAAAGTTTCCAGTTTGCCGGTTCGGGAACTCCTCGGACCTAAAGGGCAGGTGGATGCTTGCACCAGGTGTGGACTGCTGGGTCTGGATGTAGCTCAAAGGGGTGTGGACATAGCCAGCCTTCCCCAGGTGAGGGTGCAGGCTGCTGGGGAAGGGGATCTGCAGGAGGTGCTGGGAGGAGCCAGGGGCAGACGGAGAGGACACACCCAGGATGGAGCTCTGTTCCTGAGCACCGAGCAGTGGCCAGGTGCCCTGGTGGGAAGGTGGAGTCACAGCTCTCGCTGATGGGTTGGGCTTCAAAGTGGGTGGGTCTAAATGGTCTAAACCTTGGCTGATAATTGGCTCACTTCCTCGTCTCTGCTGTGCCATCGGCTGTCTGGATGATTTACTTTGCTTCTTGTCTTGTGATTGGCTGAAAGACACAGCAACCTTGGAGAAGTGACCTTTGACCCCCACAGCCTGCTGGTAAGTGGGCGTAGGGCTATCCTCTTGGCCAACTGCTTTGCAGTTTGTTGACTTGTTGTCATGTGACGCGGCTGATGTGGTGAATGAGTGGCCGTATGAGTGTTTAACTAAACTCCTCACGTCTCTCACCACGTGAACCGGAGCTCTGACCCCGCCTCCTCCTGTCTGATGACCCAGAGGCAGGACAGGTGATACCTCCGCGTTCTTCTTCAGGTTTTTCTGTTCCACCTGCATCTTTTTCGACAGCACGTTCTTAATGAGGCAGGATGCCATCTTTGTTTTGGTTTCATCCAGAGAGAACGACTTCTGAAGACGCTGAGAGTTTCCTCCAATCAGGAGCCCTGAAACCATCAGAAACTTCATCAAACTCAGATTCTTTGTCTTTCATCATCAATAGAACAAAAACAAAGACGTGTATTAATAATAATAATACTCAGTAGTAGAGTTGCACCTCTTCGACAGACATGTTGAGGCAGCATTTGAAGCTTTGGTTTTCATGGCTTGCGGCGCACATTAACTGTTTTCTTCATGCAACCAATAGAAATGCAGAACGTCAGGGAGCGGGCATGTATACTCATGAAGACCCCGACAATGATGCAGTACAGGCAGAACACAAACTTTGAGCTGCATCCTCAGTGAAGCACGTGTCGCGTCTATTGTGAATCAGGGATCTCAATCATGCAAAAATCCTTGTAAATCATATCCTACCATCATTTAACTCAAGGCCATGACTTCATGTCTGTACTTGAAAACGAGACTGTAGTTTCAATGAGACTTTTACCTGCATAAATAAAGGACTGATGCGAAAGGAAAGCTCTCGTTAGACACAGTCAGACACTCTGGAAACACCACATTTAGTTGTAGTGTGGAAGTCGTGAAGTCTGACGGGCTGTGATCCAATATCATGCTGTGCTACCCGGTGATTGAAGAAGTTTTATGCACTGAAAATCAGAATATTAAATTATTTTCTTAGAGGTTTTCTTCTGAGGTTAGGGTTAGGTTGGAGGACCAACGGGTTCGAGCTAAGTTCTAGTTTCTGAGATTTTCTGCAGTTTGCAGGGAACTATGTAGCAGTGTGTGAGACTGTTATTTGACACTCAGGCCTCTCTGCTATGGCAACCCACGGCACAGCAATAACACCAGCGTGGTATCAGCTTGAGTCTATTCAGATGTGTGTAATCAGTGCACAGCTCAGCAAAGAAAGCGCCCCCCTGCCCCCCTCGTATTTCATGTGCGAACTACAACCCCAGTTCCAAAAAAGTTGGGATGGAGCAACAAAGGCTGGAAGAGTAAGGCGTACTAAACAGAGACAGTCAGAGATTTCAGAGCTCATCAGGTCAGACATGGTCGGGTACAAAGAGAAGACATCTCCACTCTGCTGGAGTCTACACAGCTGAGTGTTTATTTTTTGTTCTTTTGTGTATAAAATGTGTGTTAATGAGATTTGTAAGTTGTTGCATTTCACACAGCGTCCCAACATTTCAGCATCGGGGCTGTTTTTGCTTTCTGCGTTCGCCAACCGAAGCCAGCATGCCGTTAGCTAATGACACAAATCAGCTGAGTGGGAGTGTTTACTTCCTGTCACTTCCTGATTAAATACATGCCTCCCTCTGTTCAGGGATCTGATTGGTGGATACAAACTAGTTTCTCTTCATCATGGAAAGGATCCTGTGATCATCCCTCTCTGCTTTTGTCCAAATTGATATCCTGAACCAGTGAATATGATCAATAACAGTTTATTTTTTCAGTGCTCCCCAGGGTGGAGGGTGGGCGGTCCTTACTGACAGAGACAGGGAGCTTGTTGACAGGTAGACGTGCTGTTACCTTGGCCAGCCCCTGCAATCAGGCCCTTGTAGACCCCGTAGCTCTCAGCATCACTGCTAGTATTTGAGGTGGCGTGAAAGGAGGTGGGCATACTGTGTTGCCGTAGTAACAGTTCAGGCCGTGATCGAGTAGTGGGACACAGCAGCTCATTAGCTGACGTATTATTGTTAATTCCTCTGCCCTCAGCAGGAACATCCTTCAGTATCACCTGGACAGGTAGACCAACAGGTGAGCAAACAGTTAAACTGGCAGAAGACATACCTGTAGTTTATCAGTGTTTACCTGTTCAGCGCCATCCTCGCCGTCCTTCTTCTTCTTCTTCAGGTGAATCTGCCGTTTAGGCACCATCTTTAGCCCCTCCGCATCCTGACCTTTCACCTGGACGACAGGAAACAAACGCTGCTGGTAAAGATGAAACTAGGCCCCACACGTACGTTCATCTAACCAGCTGATGATGATGACCGCTCACCTGTGTCTCTATGGTGATGTCAACACACTCAAAGCCACTCTCTGGATCAGACGTTTCATCGTCTGATTGGATGAGGACAGAGGGAGAGAAGTGGAGTGAGAGATCTTCCTCCGACCAGTCGCTGACACTCCCTTCGTCTTCCACTTCCTCATCTGCCTCGGAGCGATGGGTGGAGCAGAAGTCCAGGTAATCTGGCTCGCTCTCACCTGTGCAGGTGAACTCAGAGCTCTTGTCTGCAGGAACTGGAGGACAGCGTGGAAGGATTTGTGCCTCAGCAGTTTGATGAGGCAGCACGTCGACTTCAGGGCAGCGGTGAGCGCTGAGGAAGATGCCCCGCCCACTTTCTCTTTTTGCTGTGTCCTCGTGGCCGCTCATGATTGTGTCTCTGGAGGACGCACAAACAAACATGGAGACATTAATGAAGCAGTTTGAATGAAATGATGATTTCCCACTGAGTCCACAGTGCTCCATGATTTAATCCCACTCAGTTCTACTGATCCACGATCACCATCACAAACCCTCAATCTTAAATCCATGAAGCGGACCCGGCTGTTCGGGTCATTATTAAACTAAAGCCGTCCTGCCCTGTGATAGTTCCTCCAGAGCTGGGGTTCAGAGGTGATTCAGACAATCAGGCAGACGTACAGAGGCCGGCCGAACACGTGATACCTGCCGTCTGAGGAAGGCTGGGACAGGTACGCAGTGCTTCCCTTTATCAGCTCTCTGTCACACTGCGGTGATTCGATTAACGTAAAGGAGGCATCAAGAACCTTACTGAAACTGGCAGATCTGAGTAATAACTGCAGGTAAAATGGAAACGTGGCTTTAAAATGTAACCTGTGATGCTGTATGCTGATCATCATTTATCTGATTTAAACATGCAGAGAGAAGCAGAGTGAAGCTCTGCACTGACGATGCGCGTGTTTACCTGAATGATGAAGCTGAAACATCAATGATCTAAATTTTACAGCTGAAAACTGTTTTACACTTACAGCTGGAACAAGTGCCAAATATTTAGAAGAAGAAATCAGGTTCAGTCATGAATAATAACCCAATAAGTGAGTGTTAGCATGTCCTTACCTGAAATCAGCTTAGCGTTAAACTACCGACAGGACCAGGACCAGAATCAGGATCATGTCCTGCTGTCAAACATTCAAGGTCAAACTTAGTTTGGACTTCTCCGGGAGAGCCTAGTCCTGGTTCTGGTCCTGGTCCTGGCTCGGGTTAAAGCCGAAGGGTGTGTTCCTGGTCCAGGAGGAGTGTTCAGGCTCTCAGTTTAAATCCAATTAAATGAAATTTTCAAAGTTTTCAGACTCAGAAATGTGGCTGAGAGAAAGTTTTGGAGCAGCGGGTGAGTTTGATGTGAACACCAGCTCAGTGTGGGGTGACCCACAGCACCTGTGGGAGTGTTGCTGACAGGCTGCAGGGAGAGCGAGAGATAAACAGAGAGAGCGGGGCGGTGTCGGGCTGCAGGTTTCTATTTCAGGAGGTGAGTGACAGACGAGGCTGCAGCTCTGTGCACCGGCTCTGACCCGGGGGGTCACACAACAACCCACACAGCAGAGTGAACCTGTGCATGTGAAGACTGTTCTCCAAAGGCTTTTGTGCAGTTCATGAATCCTTTGATGGTGTGTTACAGTGTGCAGACTCTGGTCTCCACTGTGATCCTGCAGTTTAGAACAGGCTGATGAAAGCAGTGGCACTTCCCCTAATTAGAATTATTTTACTGAAATATGTTTATGCTAATCAGGTTAAAAGGACCTATATCCGTGCAGATTTAGATGATTAATGAGATTTTTACTCGTCGTTCTGTCAGTAGGAACGACGTGGCTGCAGGCCGGGGATCGGTCTGCCCCCGCCGGCCATGAAAGCAGTCAAACCTGAATCTGTTCACTTAGAAATAAACTGGTTTAATTAACAATTCAAGAGCTCTCGTCAGAGCCTGACCCCGACTCTGATTTCGGTCACACTCCGCACCGCGTGGCGGTGGTAGAGCCACAAATCGACGTTTGTGTGAGCCGCTCACAAAGAAGAAGAAGCAGCGGAGCAGCACCGGGCTGTGACTCCGGGGAGTTTCCTGATCCTTGTGTGGGTTTCGTTGGTCCGTGGTTCGGTCCGTGCTGGTCCGGTCTGTCCGATGCCCGGTTCTGGGTCTGCGTGCTCGCAGGTGAGCTCTGCCTTTGAGTCTTTCTCGCTCAGCTGTGATGCTGACGCCGTTAGAGCCGCTCCCGGGACGGTTCCGACCCGTTGGCGAGGATCAGGACTCTGACTTGGGTCACCGAAGCTAAAGAAAAGCCTGTTAGCCTGTATGCTAACCGCTAGTGGCAGCGCGACAGCTGCTTTACGGCAAACAGCTGATCAGTCCGGAAGTGACCGAGACAGAAAGTGCGCATCAGAAAATCCGCGAGGCTCCGAGTGATAGGTACCTGATCAATAACTGATCCAGTGCACATATTCAATCAGAGATGAGCTGCGCAGGCGCAGAACTAAGGATTCTGTTCAGTCCGGGGCGCGTGCAGCTTGTTCAGGTAAAGCTCACCTGTCAGCAGCTAAATGCTAACTGCTAACGGCTCCCAGAATTCAAATACTACTTAAATACTGCAGTAAAACTTTATTTATAAAATAAACATACTGATTAAAGGAACTGATCTGGGTCTGCGCGTGCAGGGGGAGGGGTTTGCTCAGGTGTGTGACTCTGGTATACTGGCAGAGGTATGTTTATACCCGACTGTAGTACTCCCTATAGTACTGTAATACTCACTGTACTACGGTATGAAGTACTAACTGCAGTACTCTCCTAACTGTAGTGCAGTCTGTAGTACTGATGTTCCCAAACGAGGGGATAAAAGTGTAAAACTAAGTCTGTAATCACGAGTGATGTCATGAGTGATGTCACAAGTGCTGACCTGTGCCACACCCTGCAGTTAGAGTCGAGACACACAACCATGTTCTTACCAAAGATGTTCTCTTATTATTAAAATGTAACAAGTCCATCTCAGCGGTTTCATTTGGTAGCTCTTGCTTGGCGTGCTTGTTGCTGGTCTCGTGTTGGCCTCAGGTAACGTGGAAGTGTTACCGTGCCAACTGTATGTGCGTGATAACAGCTGTAGACAGTCACTGCTCCCCAGACCTCACGTGTACGACTGTCAGACGCAGGCCCATCTACCTCCTGTGTGTTCACCGTATGCAGGATGGCTAACCCTTACATTCCACCGGATGCTAATGCTAATTCAGCCCTTGGACACTTGGTAGCGTGGTGTTCCTCTGCCCTCTTCTCTTTACAGCACGGCTCAGCCAACCTGAGCAGCAGCAGCAGGCAGGTGTGCTAAGGTGTCCAACATGTCCCCGATCAGAAGACTCAGAGCTGCTGAGGGTGACGACACACTGGCAGAAGAGCCAAACCTCTTCACCTGTTTTGAGGCTACACCACCAGTGGCGGCTACACCCCCCGACTGGCCACAGCAGCCTCACCCTGTCAGTAGGGCTGGGCGACATGAGGAAATCTAATATGACCATGTTTTGGAGCGACATCAGAGACGTGATCTGTATCGCCACACGTTCTAACGTTGGTCCACCTCTGTGTTTGTTCTACTTTGATACAGGAAGTCAGAAAGAATTTAAATGTTTGAACCATCAGCTGCACAGTTTCAGCTTGGGAGGGGGGTCAGTGATGCATTCACAGAGTGTGGGAGAGAAAAACTCTCAATTGCATGCAGACAGATTATTGTTGCCATGGTAACCCATACTCTATGGTTACGATAAAGCCACGTTAACCATGTACGTGGAAAACCCGCGATACATCGAGTATATTCGATACATCACCCCGCCCTAGTCTGTAGTACTGTCTGTATTACTGACTCTGGTACAACTTGTAGCAGTGTAGTATTGTGTGTAGTACTAAGTACAATACTGTCTTTCTATAGTACTAACTATAGTCCTCTGTAATACTAACTGAACTGGACATGTGTGTGCTTAATAAACTGGCAAATTACAGCAGGATTTTCCTATCCTCGGTCAGAAGGCACAGGTGACTTATATGATGAAAGAGGGGGTCCACAGCAATGATAATTAGGGTTCCTTTAATCCAAAACATCTCCAGAAGTGAATTCGTGTGAGTATATGTATGTGTGTGGTTCTGTAAAATAACAGAAATTACAATTAGCAAACAATTAAAGTCAACCAAGCTGGTCTAAATAATACAGGAAGGGTTGAACAGAAATGACTAAACACCACCCCCTGGTGGACACAAATGGGCTGCTGCACAGGGATAGACTCCATCTTTATTTTGGGCAGCTCAGTTCACAAGGGTAGCGCCATTTTGGTCAAATCAGCGTGAATATACAGTGTCTCGTGGCTACACAAACCGCTGGAAAACTCTACAAAGCATCACCCAATGTACATAGCTAAGTATATGATAAGTTACAACCATAGAACAAACAAATACAAGGCACTTACTCATCATTCAAGCACACGCACGACACATGTTCAGTACAACAGCCCAGCTCCACCAGCGCTATCACGGTGAACCAGCGCAAACTCAAACAAAGGATGGGAGGAATGTACCATCTTAGTAGTGGTTAGAAGGGGTCCGTGGAACAGTCTATATACACAAATCACAGGGGTTTTATACACTAACTGTAGTACTGATGTGTGTACTCTTATGTACTCAGGAGGAGTTGCTGGTGGGGGCGCCACGCGTCCTGGTTACCGGGGCGACAGGCCTCCTGGGGCGAGCGGTGTGCCGAGAGTTTCACAGCGCCGGATGGACCGTCACTGGGACGGGATACAGGAGAGCCAGGCTCCGCCTTCTGCGCTGTGACCTCACAGACGAGGACGCCGTCAGAGGACTGCTGCACGAATACAAGGTACTGCATGCTGTACTGCACACACACAAGCTGTGTATTCGTACAGAGTACTTCGACAACAGTACTCCGACTCCATGTGGTTCGTTGACCTTATTAGTGACCTCACAAGAGCCTCTAGGTCAGAGTCCACCTAGGAGACTTTCCTGAGCATTAACCCCGCCCCCACAGATCAGCAAATGGATCGAGTCACCTGTCGAATGTGACACGGTGACAGAGGGGGGTCCCTCATCGCCTGTGTGTTTGACCTTCACGGTCACCATGGAAACCAGCTCCACATGGAGCTCACCAAGTATCAGAGCTCATCACTCTGAGAGCTCACCTGGTGGAGTCGGGGAGAACAAGCACCTGGCTGCTGCTGCTGGGGGGACGGCGAGGTGGGGCCACACCCCTTCTCAGGTGCTTGGGCAAACAGATACAGGAGTGGATCCATCCATGTTGTTCTGCTGGGCCGGGTCGCGGGGGCAGCAGCCTCAGCAGAGAAGCCCACACCTCCGTCCCCTCCACCACCTCCTCCAGCGTGTCCTGGGTCTGCCCCGGGGCCTCCTCTGAGTGGGACATGTTGGAACTCCTCAGCCGGCTCCCCGCCGGGATGGCTGAACTCCTCACCCTGTCTCTAAGGGTGCGTTCACACCGAACGCGATAGACGCGACCGGAGCTTCAGGTTTACGTGTAAAGAGGAGCGCGATGAAGCGCGACTGGGGGTCCTGCGAAACTTCAGAAGCAGATTTGCGTCACGAAAGCGCTTTTCTGCCTGATTCGCGCAACCAAGTAGTGCGACTGACGTGTTGGAAGCGTGAGGTAAAATGTGCGCTGCAGTTTGTGTGTTGCATTTTGTGCATTCGCGCTAATTGTGTCTCCCACTCGAGTTGGAAAAATCTGAACTCCAGCGTCAAGTCGCTGTAGTGACTGATGTGTAAAGCGTCCTTTTCACCACTGCTCTGCTAAAATAAAGCACAACTTTATCCTTCCGGCAGCTCCCGGGGAGCCCTATGGGACATTCATATAGAGATCCTCCAGCTTAAAACTGCATCACCCTCCCAGGACCTGAAGCTCGGTAAAGCACCCCACCGACATTGAAACCATCTGTTCTCTGATTGGTCACAAATGTAACAATCCAGTCGGCTGAAAGAAAAAAACTGGGTCAGAAGTCGTACTGGTCAGTTGCAACGCACACAGCCAGGAAGCTGAGCGCAGAGTTTCACTGTAGTTTTGTGCTTTGTATCTGTTAGAAGACCTTAACAAAAACTATTTGTAACCTCTGTAAATGTTTTTAAAAACACACTGATTCTCATCTGTAGATGCACAAGCGTAACATTTTCAGATATTTTGGTTTACAAGATACAAATCTCAGTTCACAGCGACTCATTTGATTTACAGAATATGTTTGAGCCCAGTTTGAGCCCATAAGGAAGCTCATTTCTGCCACTTGTATCTGCAATCGCGTTCTTTCGGTCCCCGCCCACGCCTCGTCACCATAGCTGAGGGTAGGGACGTAGATTGAGCGGTTTCACACTCTCTCTTAACCACGACGGTCTGGGACAGTGCTCGCATCACTGCAGCGGCAATCCGTCTGGCGATCTCCCCTCGCTTGTGATCAACGCCTCAACATACTTAAACCCCTCCCCTCCCTCGTCCCTGACCCGGAGTGGGCGCTCAGAGTGGGCGCTCAGAGTGGGCGCTCAGAGTGGGCGCTCAGAGTGGGCGCTCAGAGTGGGTCCGTGGCCTCAGACTTGGAGGTGCTGACTCTCGTTCACACTGTGCTGTGAAACTGTGAGTTGGAGCCAGCAGAACCACATCGACTGTGAGAAGCAGAGACTTTAGTCCTGACACCACGCAGCTACACCCAGAAATCCGTCCATAAAATTATGCAGAGAATCGGTGACAGAGGGCAGTGACGTGTCCTAGGGCTGTTCGATGTAACGATATATATCTGATGACGATATAAAAACCTCTGTCGTTTCATTTTACGCTGTCGTTTGTTTCGTGGTGTCGCAAAATAAACTGTTTACAGCAATATTTTTCATGGTTCTGATGTCGCTGTAGTGGCTGTATTCATTTCTTAAAGTTCTCTCTTTCTCTTATATGTAATATAACCACACTACAGACGGACAAGTGCCTGTTTTTATGCGTTGTCGTTAGCAACAGCGACGGTAACACCATCGCGTGTCCGCTTGTTTATGTTCCACATAAACCTTTCACAATAAAGCTCAAGATCCTGTTGAGACTTTTCAAAATAAACTGAATCACGTGAAAGAGCAGATTATTTACGGATGAGTAAAAAAGAGCCGCCAGGTGCTAAAAAATAAACCTTAGACTCAAACGTTAGAGCAGGCTTTTCCCCGCAGCACGCCGTGTAATAAATACTCACAAAGAAAACGGCGCCGCTACAATTTATGTCTAAAATGTGTCGTTTCATGCATCGTTAAAACACTCGACTCCAGCTACACGACGCCCAGCAGGAAACACTTCACACAAGTCGAGCTGCCCGAGATTCACAGACTTTACAGAAAATGCTACATTTTTGTGATTTATATCGTTACCGGGGCGATAGATGTCTTATATCGGGAGATGAGATTCTGGTCATATCGCACAACCCTAACGTGTCCTTTGGTGTGTGTGGAGACGTTCACACACTGAGTTTAAAACACTCTTCACCTTACACTGGATGATTATCAGCTGGTGGAATAAACTGGAAGTACTTCTGCCTTTGGCTGCAGTAGTTTTACTGCATGTTTGACAAATGACAACATTTAGCTGGACATCCTGGTGAGGTCCAAACTCTCTCTGTGTGGTAGGATATAAACGCTCAGTGTGTCGGGGAGTCCCAGGTCCAGCTGGGATAACCACTCACATGTTCCTCTGCTTCCCTGGACACTGTGTCTGTGGGATGGTAACATCCCCAACCCTCACTCTGTGCTCTCCACGGGACTCAGCTGTACATCTGCATCTAAAGGTCAAAGTTCACTCTTTAAGGATCCAATGTGCACATGTTGGACAGAGAAGACAGAGGAGTGAAAGAAGCGTCTATCTCCACTGTGAACAACCCTCTTTGGACAGAGGGCGGGGCTTATGACACTGTCCGCCATCTGTAGTCCAGTCTGACATCCTTCCCAGACGCCTTAACGCCCACTCACATCCTGGTCATATGACCTCAGCAAGTGACATGATAGGGTGGGGCTAGGTCTCACAATGACCTACACCTTCTTCACACCTTGGCTCGCGTTATGAGTCACAGGGTCAGTAGTGGGTAAATTATCGTCCCACTGGGGGACCCTCCCCCATCTTTGCCCACATCAGCGTGGGAGCGCTGCACCCAGGGACTCCAGGGGCGGGTACTCTGAGCTGAGCGCAGACAACACTCAGGACCTGTTCCCCGACCCACGGGCGCAGGGAACAGACCGTCTCGTACAGGCAGCGAGCCGAGCGGTTACCAGGATACTGATCGGGTTTATGGTTGGTCAGAGGCTGTGAGTGAGCAGGTGCAGCTGCTGAAGGACGGACACGACTCACCTGTGAGTCAGCTGACAGGATTCAGGCTGTTTGTAATGGTATGTTCTGGCATCACTAGAGATGGCACGATACCACTTTCTTATGTCCGATACCGATATGAATCCGATGTGTTTTAATCAATAAAACTGTTTTGTTTTTTTTTGTTTTTTTTTAAGGGCAGCACGGTGGTTAGCACTGTTGCCGCACAGCAAGAAGGTCCTGAGTTCAATTCCACCATCAGGCCGGGGTCTTTCTGTGTGGAGTTTGCATGTTCTCCCCGTGTTTGCGTGGGTTCTCTCCGGGTACTCCGGCTTCCTCCCACCGTCCAAAGACATGCAGCTTGTGGGGATAGGTTAATTGGATAATCCAAATTGTCACTAGGTGTGAATGTGAGTGTGAATGGTTGTCTGTCCCTGTGTGTTGGCCCTGCGACAGACTGGCGACCTGTCCAGGGTGTACCCCGCCTTTCGCCCTATGACAGCTGGGATAGGCTCCAGCGCCCCCCGCGACCCTGAAAAGGATAAGCGGAAGCGAATGGATGGATGGATGGATGGATGGATGGAAAATGTTTTTTTTAATATCTTGCTGCATTTTGTATAAGTTCAAACTCAAGTTAAAAAACACTGAAGCTATTCTGTTACACCTGTGTGTAAAAAACACACTGCACCCAAAATATTTCATAGATCAGCAAAACTGATCAATCTAATGAACTTAAACCTGCTCCATCCTCCCTATTCTGGTATTTTAAAGAGTAAGCAACCTAACTAGTTGCAAACTCCCAGCAAAAAAAAATAGGGAACCACCCCTCACCCTCCACCTCATGATGCTTAATCGATGTAATCAACTTTAATTTGATGCAGTGTGAAAAAAATGCACAGAAATCAATTATTCTTCCACAATAATTAAATAGATTCAACATCTTTCTTCAACAGAACTGCACAGATGGTTCCCAAAGGAAAAAGTACTATAGCTTACTAGGGTATATTAGACTTAACAGTCACTATATACAGTAATGGACTTCTATACATTTTACATCAGATTAAAACTTTGGGTGTCAGATAATTATTTATTAAAAGCTCGACATTTTAAATGAGAATAAGAAAGAAAAGTATGTCTTTGTGCCCCCTTTTCCCTGTTCATGCCCTATCGGCCCCCCTGGCTAAACTTTGCTAGATCCGCCCCTGCACAGTTACCAGCCGTCAGCTACGTAGAAAAAGATCCTGGTGTAGAAAGTAATATTAAATACATTCTAACAACAGCTGATCAAGCTTAAACGTGCTGCTGTTGTTCAGCCGCTGGTTTCCTCTTTCTGGTGCAAAGTGGGCCAAAAACAAACAAGAGAGACGATCAGCTGATCATTGATCAGTTTCATGATTGAAGCAGCAGCAGGAGAGAGAGAGGCAGTCGCTCCATATATCGGTTGTTAAGCTTAACGCTGGAAAGCTTTACAAACATTCACAGATGAACTTACACACTTGCTTTACTTCTCTCTGGGAAAACTTCCTCAGAGATGAAATGCCGGATTGCTAGCGAGGCTACAAATACTCACAGCCGCTCTATCACGTGACCACACTGCTGCGACGTGCTACGGTTATGAGCCGAGTTACGCCGTGTCGCAGGTTTTGTGAGGTGCTTTTTTGATATTTAATGGATCGGATTACATTTTTTATTTCTCGCCGATATCCGATCCAGTGATTTAGGTCAGTATCAGACCGATACTGATACGTAATATCGATCGGTCCATCTCTCGTCATTACTGTAAAGCTGATGGTCACTAAATAAAGTTGTTTTGAATGTGTGTTTCAGCCTGATGTGATCGTCCACTGTGCGGCCGAGAGGCGTCCAGATGTTATGGAGAGACACACGGAAGCAGCTGTTAATCTGAACGTGCACGCCACGAGCACTCTCGCCAAGGAGGCAGGTCAGTGACGCCACCACACCATCACCAGATATTCTTTGGCCTGACACAGGTGGGGGCACGAGAAGGTTTGGGGGTGGAGCTCCTGTAGTGCGCATCAGAGCCCCGCCCCCTCACACATCACGCACCTTGATTTCAGTCCAGCTCTGTGTGAGCGCGCCTCCGTAACAGGTAACGTCTGTGTCTGCAGCCACCTGCGGGGCGCTCTTCCTCTACATCAGCACCGACTACGTGTTTGACGGCAGGAATCCTCCGTACGGTGAGGACGACAGTCCAAACCCGCTCAACGTTTATGGGCGGAGCAAACTGGAGGGGGAGAGGGAGACGCTGCGCCACTGTCCAGGTACGTCTCAGTCACCTGTCTGAGTCTTCTGTCTCTCGCCTGCCCCTCAGTCACCTGTTTGACCCGTGACCCTGCCAGGTGCGGTGGTACTGCGGGTGCCCGTTCTGTTTGGGGAGGTGGAGTCGGTGACGGAGAGCGTGGTGACGTCGTTGTACCTGAAGGTTCAGGAGGCGTCAGAGGAGAGCTGCACGCTGGATCACGTCTTGCAGAGATTCCCCACTGACGCCCGAGACGTCGCTGCCGTCTGCAGGAAGCTGTCTGAGAGAGCACGACAGGTGAGCGTCAGAGAGACAGGTGAGCATCAGGTGGACTTCGCTCTGCCCGTCTCACCGCCGTCTGCTTTTCCGTCAGGACCCGTCCATCAGAGGAATCTTTCACTTCTCTGGGAAAGAGCAGATGACTAAATATGAAATGGCGGTCGCCATCGCTCAGGCCTTCAACCTGCC